CCCCCTCTTTCTCTCTCCCTTTCTCCTTCTCCCCGGCCATGGCGTATACGTACGCGCGATGATGACAGTTAAGATTTAATTATGGAAGTAATGCCGTAAGTCAGAGAATTATACCGCTATACTTGCGAGCGGGCACGCCCGGCTCGGCCGCGCGCCCCTCTGTGTGTGTGTGTGTGTGTGTGTGTGTGCGGAGGGGTTAAGGTTAGGCTACTCTGTGAGAATCGTTAGCGTCATTACTCAGGCTCAGGCGCGGGGACACAAACGGTCCGGGCGGGGCGGGGCAGGGCGGGCGCGGCAGCAGCGCCGTGTAGTTCCGCGCGGCACTAACACACCGCTGGCGTGGCGGGGCGCGGCGCCTGAATGGGCTGGGCGCGGCAACTTGTTGAGCGTTCAAACACGGGCGACATGACGAATGGACAGCGCGGTGTACACTACACTACATGCAGTGCACTGGTGCGGTGTACTACTCACCGGCGTCGAGTAGAAGGGCGGCTGGTCCGCGCCCAGCGCGGGGAAGTAGGCGGCCATGCCCTCGGGGTAGGGCGCCGAGTACATGGACAGGGGGAGGCCCGCGCCGGCAGAGGCCAGCCTCTGGTAGCTGAGCAGGTCGTACTGGCACGAGCACACGGTCTGCCCGGTGATGGGGTCGGTGAAGATGGGCCGGCCGGTGTCGCAACAGCGGCCGCCGGGGGCGCCGCCGGGCGGGGGTGGCCGCGGCGGCAGCGGCGCCCCGGGCAGGCCGGCGAGGCCCTCGGCCGTCCGGCCAGCGGACTCCGGGGGGCTCGCGGCGCCCGAGTCGTAGCAGCGCGACGACGCCGAGTGCGCAGAGTCGGGCGGGGAGGCGGCGGAGCGCGCCGCCGGCGGGCCCGTGATGGTGGTGACGGCCATGCCTCCGAGGCCGGCCGCGCCGAGACCCTGGAGGCCGAGCAGCGGGTGCGGGTGCGCTTGAGGGTGAAGCGGCGGCGGCGGGCGCTCCACGGGCGGCGAGGGCAGCGGGGAGCGCGGCGCTGACAGCGATGACGGCGGGCTCACTGGTCCGGGGGGCTGAAACACACACACACACACATACAGGTCAGTCACAAACACGTCGAAATGATCACATTTTCGGCCGACAGTAAAACCGTGGCGGCGAATCCCACACATGCTGAGGAGCTTGCTCGTTCTGTTCGCACGTTAGTGGACTGCCCCCACCTGGGCACCGGGCGCTGCGCGCGGGGCGCCCTGCTACCCCGGCGTTGTTAATGAAAAGACTGTGTTCTGTTATACCTCGTTACTAACATTGCCGGGTTAAATACACAACGCCGGGACCATAAAACGTGTCGGCCGAGGCGTGCGGACGTATTATTACGATTATTATTGTGTAGCAGCAGTCCAACGGGTGGAAGGGAATCAAGGCGCGGTGTGGCGGGGCGGGGTGTGGTGTGGCGGGGCCCGCACTACACGACCGCCGCCATCATCCTGGGGGTAGGTGTGTACGTACGGCGGGGGCAGCCCACCGGACCATTGCGAAGGTCGACGACCCCGACCCTCCTCCTGCAAATTACTCTACTCGCACCACATAAGACTGTTCACGAGACCCAGATTCTAGTAGAAAAGAGTGATACTACGACGTACAGTTTTGTATCCGATAATATTTTTTGCGTCTGCTCTTAATGCTCCCTTTTCTGTTCGTTTAAATAAAGAACGACTTTCCTCTCCAACACCGCCCTCCATCTCTCCATGTCTTTCCCCAGCGCGCGCGTTGCGGATCAGCATGCCATTTCCAAAGGGTGCGAGTGTTTTAATGCGCGGGGCAGGCGTGGCGGGGCGTGGCGAGGCGTGGCAGGGCGTGGCGGGGCGTGGCGTGGCGGGGGACACACACCCCGGACACCAATTATTACGCCTTGTTGGGTAGGCAATTTATATAGTTGCCGGTCAGCAATGGCGGCGGCATGTGGGAGCGCCCGGCCGCGAGGGCAGGGCGCCGCTCCCGCCGCGCCCTCCTCTCCCCTCCCCTCCCTTTCCGTCCTCTCCGTTCCGCCCGCCACACCGCCGCGGCGAGACGAATCGGGGTTTGATTGCGACCGTGTGGGTTTTTGGGGCGGGAGCAGCAGCAGCAGCCGGAGGGGGAGGGCCTCGCGCGGGGTTTTTGGCCTCTCGCCGCTCTTCCTTCCGCCACTGTACTTGACTTGCTCTTTTCCACCCTCCCCACGCTGCTCGCTCTCTCTCTCTCTCCCTCTCTCTGTCTCGCTCTCTCCCACGCCCACGCCGCCCCCGATGCGATGGATGGCAGTTTGATTGCGGCCGGAGGCCCGGCTCCCTCGTGATCCCCTCCCCAGCACAGCCCGGGAGAATAGAGTGGAGTGGACTCCGAGTACATCATATAGTTTTCCCAGGGTGGTGGTGCTGGCGGATGTGGCGAGGGCCCGGGGCTAAGGATATACAACGAGAAGATGTCGCGGAGCTCCGATAGGGTAGCACCTGATCGTACTCCTATGGTAGTGCCCCCTGGTAGTGCTCTTGGTAGTGCTCTTGGAAGTGCCCCTGGTAGCCGTGGAGCCGAGCTGGTGTGGGCCGCGCCTGCCTGGTGGTAGTGCTCCTGGTAGCCGAGCTCGGCCAGACCATTAACCAAATAACAGCGGCGGGCCGATTAAACGACCAGCAAACGCCCCATCGCTCATCCTCATCCCCCCCATCCTGTGTGTGTTTAGCGCGCGGCCAAGGGAACGACTATCTGGCCGGACAAAACCAGATATAAATATTGCCATTATGCGTTACGAAAGGGAGGGGAGGAGCGGAGGAGGAGGGGAGGGGGGGTGGCGCACGGTCGGCCGCGTTTCTCACAAGCATTGAGCTCCCTGGTCATCATCATACGAGCCCTGACCAAAACCGTGTCGCGCCAGCCCGCGGGCCGAGCTATGGGGGGAGGGCTGAGGCAGGGGTGGTGTTTGAGCAAACACTAGGGCCGGAGCGTGCGAAAAACTCGACCGCACATGACATACACACAAGCCATATGTACTACCGCACCTTTACCTACACGGGCAAAAAAGAATTTTGTCACCACAGCGAAAGCAGTGTTTGTCAAGAGACTTGATTGTTTGCTCTCAAATAGTAGTGGCAAAAATGATTTTGGTCCTCACAGCAAAGTTTTTACGTTTTCACTATGCTCATTGTAGTGACGAAATCTTTTATCCGTGCATACGAATTTCGCGCGAGTCAATGCAGTTATGAAGCAGTGTGTTTGTTGTGTAGAACTCAGTCAGTTTGCCGGTCAACTTCCATACATATGTGCACATGACAATTTTGTCAGTGCGGTCGCACCCCCATACCCCCCTTCCCTCCCCCCCTCTCTAGAAGCATTGAGAAACATCTCACACGCCCGCGGCGGCTGCTCCCCTCTTGCCCCTCCTCCTCCTCCCCCGCCCCGCGGTGCTCGTCCGCGCGTTGCCAATTACCGCTAAAAAGTCGCGTCGCCGCCGTGGAGTGCCTGTGACTAACGCCGATGATAATGGCGACCCCCCCCCCCCCAAACCCTCCCTTATACCTCTGCTCACGGTCCGCCCCTCCACGCTTGTTATTGTCAGCGCCGCTTTGCAACAATTTTTTTTCAACCCCCCATATTCAGCTGCTGCTGCTGCTGCTGCTGCTCGCCGTTTCGTTGTAACTCTGTTTGCGGACAACAAGAACCGACGCCACAACCACACAACGCGCACATGCGCCGATTATTAAGAAGTGCGCGCACGTACACACGCAGTACACATATATATAGGTCAACTTGCACACGGCCACCACTTCATCAAACGACACAAACAACGCGGCGACGCACCTGCACAAATTTCTCCTCGTCGCGCCAGGCGTAAATTTCTCATCAAGGCGCGCGCGCACGCGTGTGTGAGTGTGTGCGCTTTTTGCCACACAGTCGTCGTGCGCACTAAATCTCTCCAACGAACGGCAATAATAATAATAATAGCGAAAGGGCGCGGCGGCGGCGGCGCGATCAGGTGTCGCGGGGGTAATTGGGCGCCATACGGGACGGGCAGAAGGGAAGGAGAGGAGGGGGAGGGGGGGGAGGTAGAGGAGGAGGAGGACACATTACTGCTGCTTCAACGACTTTTATTTACACCCGTCCGGCGCAGAGGCTTCGCGCGCGGGCCCGCTTCACTGTATACACACAAAACACAGATTCGTCCTCCTCCTCCCCCCGCCCTGGCCCCGCGCGCGCACAATGTGACATATGCACTCGTTTATGGTAATATATCTCTATCATAACCTCTTTAGGTCTTTTATCCGGCGGCGGCGACCCGAACTGCCGCGGTGGCGGCGGCGCGCTTCCCACCACCACCACCACCGCGTGCGTCTCGGTCACAATGAAAGAGGAGAGAGGAAGGGTGAGGGGGTGAGTGGCGAAGAGCCGCAGATAGGCCCCCCCTTGTGCCGCCGCACACCCGCAATCGAGAGGTATATTTATAAGCAAGCTCTTCTGCTCCTGGCCATCGACGCACCCACCCTGTGAGTGTGTGTGTGTGTGTGTGTGTGCAACCGACTGCGTGAGCCAATTTGTCTTGTTGTGTAGAGCAGGCGCGCACAGGCAGGCGCCTGCCCCGGCCACAGTTGTGTGAAAGGACGCGCTCACCCGGACGGGATGGATTCAGTCACTCACATTGTTGTGTGTCGCCGTCTGATTTGGATTTTATAATGCGAAAGAAAAGAGAGACACACAGAGAAAAGAGCAGTCGTCGTCGTGTCGCACGCGGCAGATCAGCCAGTGACACGAGCAGGCTGCAGGAGGACCAGCCAGTCTGATGGTTGCGCACGGGGTGATTGTAATATGTTGACGGCTGCTCTGCTCTGATGGTGATTATGGCTGTGCGAATGTGTGGTTTGACCAACACGATTCCGTTTTCTGGTTTCGCTTGTGCTGCGCGCAGGCAGCCGGCCGCCGCCGAGGCCGCCACCCGCCTTGCAGTCCGGTCGAGTATGCTTCCCTCACACACACTCACGCCGCCGCCTGTGCGCTTGGAAAATGAATTCAATTAATTAAAGCTCGCCGAGGAGCCGTTTTGACGCATCTCGTCATGATCCCCATCTCCAGATAATAATGGTATGGAACTAGGCTGTGCCGTGCAAGGATGAGGAGAGGAGGAGATAACTAGAGAGGAGAGGTGGAAGATAGGGGGAGGGGGTGTTGGAAAGGGCAAGAGGGTTGTAGCGGGAACTCGGGCCGGGCGGGAAGGGCAGGGCAGGCTGGGACTGCGCGCGTGAGGTTCGACTAAAGTCCGCGACCAGTAGTAGGCCTAACGGCCATTTACCTTTGCATAGGCTTCTACCCGGAATAGTTGTAGTATACCCATCGCGAACTAGTGATCGGAGTGCAGGAGCGCGCACACAGAACACGCACACACGAAACCAAAACACACACGCACGCATACAGAGCTGCTCGGCATACATAATTCCATGATAAATCATAGGCTGACCGGGGCGACAAGCGAAGTGCCGGCAAGATGGATAGATACTTGGAGCGGGAAAGACGAGGAGGTGACTTCTCACTCGGGCGAGTCGTAGCGGTGCGGGGCGGTGGTTGGGCTGTCTCACGATGGCCACGCACACACACTCACACACACACTTTCCTTTATCCCCCGCACGGCCAGGCGCGGGGGCTGCCAAAGAATGCCCATCGTCATTGAAAAGCCGACTAGGGGCGTTACAATAAGCCACATTAATGCCCCTCTGTGTGTGATGTGTGCGTGTGTTCGTGCGTGCGCGCGCGCGCGCCTGTGTGTGTGTGTGTTGTACGCAAGCACACACACATAATACGTCTTCATTTGAGATCTCTATATAAACCGGTGGGGCGATTCAGGAGGCACGTCTTATTTGGGCCAACACGGATACATCATTTCGGCCAGCGGGGCAGTGGGGTGGGGCTCCCGCCACGCCCCGCCACGGCCGAAAGGGCTGAGCTTGTAATGTGACATGGACACTCTAAATCCCCCTACCCACCTCCGTGATGTACATCAGGACTGCCGCGTCCGGCGACGGCAGTGGCGCAAGGAAAGGGAGGGGGCAGG